ACGATCTCTGATCTACTGCCGACCACCGCCGAATAAAGAGGATTAGATCCAGATGCCCAAGAACGATCGATCTCAAGAGCTTCGTGGGATCAAACATTCGGGGGGGAATCAGTTGAAAATCAGAGGAATCAAGATTTCAATTGAGGTTTAGAGACCAAGAATGGTCCTAGTCAAGATTTTAACGGTAAACCAAGGGTTAGTGTTTTTTATTATTATTAATTTTAGGGTTCCTTCCGATGATTCCCAGTCCATTTTAGCCCAATACTTCTGATCCCTGTTTGCGGAAAAAGTCGTTGTATTCATTGCTGCATTCATTACAACTTCAATCGTTACAATGAAATAAAAAGATAGTCTTTTTATAAGACCTTTACACAATGAAAACAAAAGAAATGCAACTCCTTTCAAACAAACGCAAGAGCTGTTTGTCATCTCTTGCTTGTGTGGGTCTTTGGCCTGTGACGGGGACGTTGATATCCGTGGACCACCGGGGCACTCAGATCTGGTCCGGATAAATCGGACAGAGCTTCGTTGATCCGCGTGAGATCTAGAAACTTCTAATCCAGAAATATCGGACAGAGCTTCGTCGATCCGCGTGAGATCTAGAAGCTATAAGCGTATACCTCGGCTAAAGCGAGGTATTAGCTCTTCTTAGTATTAACGCTAAGGCCAATACTAAGGATCTGACGGGCGATGAAGACTGATGTAGACCTCTCCTCCTCTCGTGGGTGTCTCGGCTTGGCCGAGACACCCCTGGGGTGTCTTGGTTTTGCCAAGACACCCCTCGGGTGTTTCGAGCTTGCCGAGACTCCGTTTAGGTGTTTTGTTGGTTCCCCTGTATATTCTTCGTCCGGATTCGGATTTGAGTGATTCCGGGTGCGTTGGATGCGCGACGAAGAGTTTGACCCGCTCTGGTGATTGGATTATCTGTAGAGTGGTCGAGGCATGAAGGGCGTTGTCCTTTTTGTGAACAGTGCCGGGCTTCCCGATTGGTCCGGGTCTTCGTGATTCCGAAGTCCTATCCGCTCATGTAACTCGTCGATTCACTTCAGTCGTTCGTCGACGTCGATTAGGCTCATGTGGATTGGATGGTGACGTTCATCGTCGCTCGTTAACACTGAACCGGTTGTGGAGAACTATAGGCAATTTTTGATGCCTACAGATACCCCCTCCAAAGTGTTCCTGACTCGTTTCTTTTATAGAAGAGGCTGGAATACTTTGGATGTGATTGATCTGGCCTTCAGTCGGCGTAGTTAGCTTCAACTCTTGACTCTTTCGATTTTCGATCTATTCGATGCTTTGACGAATAGCCGAGGTTCTTCCGGCGCTGCGTTTATCGCTTGGCCGTCGTCGGAGTCTCGAGTGTGCAGCTGATGAATTGAGTTTGGCTCGTGTCATTGAGTTGACTTTGAACTACCTCCGCCACATTGTGCTGGCTTAGGGTTTCGGATCCCCGTGTGTTGGCTTTTTATCGCAACGTGTTGACCGGCGTTGACCTAGGGTTATGTGTTGACCGGCGTCCACCCTAGGGTTTCGGATCGTCGAACGTTGACTTTCGTTTGCAACGCGTTGCTTGGCGTTGACCTAGGGTTACGCGTTGACCGGCGTTGACCCTAGGGTTTCGAATCGTCAACTGTTGACTTTTGTTGCAACGCGTTGACTGGCGTTGACCTAGGGTTACGCGTTGACCGGCGTTGACCCTTAGGGTTTCGAATCGTCGAACGTTGACTTTTGTTGCAACGCGTTGCTTGGCGTTGACCTAGGGTTACGCGTTGACCGGCGTTGTCCCTAGGGTTTACAAATCGCCATTAACACAGTTTATACTCGTACGTTTGCTGGAGTATACATAGTTTAAGCTCTTAAGGTATTGGAGCATCGCAGTCTCGAATGTTGGGGTTGCAGGACCAACTGTTAAAGTTGATTCATCTACATGTGTGGATTTTGTCCTGAATTTGTTGGGCGCTCAAGTCACGAGACCAATTAGGGGAGTTGGTGCGTCGATGACTCGTATTCATAGAATTTTTGGTAAATCCTCAGCCCTCAACGGATTTGACAAGCCTTTACCGACTACCGTTTGAGTCGGGCTAGCATGCGGATTGTTTAAGTCCGTTCCGCATGTGACGTTGTGCTAAGAGAATTAACGCTCTTAGTGCTACGATATTGAATACGTAGACTTCGTCTTTCTCACGGGAATAGACTACCCGGCGACGCGTGTTAGGCGTTGACTTTAGGATTTTTGGCTAATCCCCAGCCTTCAACGGATTTGATTAGCCTTTACCGACTACCGTTTGAGTCGGGCTAGTATGCGGATTGTCTCAATCTGTTTCGCATGTAACGTTGTGCTAAGAGAGTGAATTCTCTTAGACTTTGTGCTATGATGGTGAATACATAGGCTTTGTCTTTCTCACGGGAATAGACTACCCGGCAACACGTGTTAGGTGCTGACTTATCCTTACTTAGGATTCAGGATAAAATTCCCCGTGCGTGTGAGGCACGGATTATGGTGTTATAAATAACAACCTGCCACAATGTTGAATATGTGGTCTTTTGTCCTTTTTACGGTCAAAGACTAACCGGCAATACGTGTTAGACATAGGCTTTGGGATTTTTGGCAAACCCCCAGCCATCAACGGGTTTGACGTGCCTTTACCGATTACCGTTTGAATCGGGCTAGCATGTGAATTATTAAAACCCGTTTCACATGTAACGTTGTGTTAAGAGAATTACTTCCCTTAGACTTAATGCTATGATTTTGAATACATAGACTTCGTCTTTCTTACGGGAATAGACTACCCGGCAACGCGTGTTAGGCGTTGACTTATCCCTACTCAGGCTTCGGGATAAAATTCCCCGTGCATCGAGTACCCGGATTTGACAATCGTGTCTTTTCTAAAAGCAAAGACAGATTGAGAAACGGGAGAGGAAGAATTTTATATTCTATCTCCCGGTGCTGAAGAGGAAGAATTTTATATTCTATCTTCGGCCGGAAAGGAGACTTGGGGTGGGATCTCCACCCCCAGAATCCAGAATGGTGAAACTAGGAGTGGGATCTCCACTCCGAGAATCGAAAAGATTCGGATAACCCTAACTGTCGGAAGGTTTGATTACCCGATTTGGAAGTGGACCTCTCGTTCATTGGGGGAATCGAGAGGAGATTTTGGATGTGGCCCTAACTGTCGAATGTTTGACCCAGCAGGAGTTTGAGATGACCCTAACTCGATTTGAAAGTGGACCTCTCGTTCATTGGAGGAATCGAGAGGGGATTTTGGCTTTGGCCCTAACTTTTACAGGTTTGACCAGAAAACACAGAAAGTGGAATACAGGTAGCAAAGAGAATGCCAACTCGTATTATCACTCACAGGGAGACTTTGAATGCTAGGCGTTCAGGACCTAGCACGTTAAGTCTGCAAAATGCCAATGACGGGCAAATGGAAATGTTGGTGGATCCACTGTCGTTTGATTTGATCAGCGGATGGTTTGGTGAGGAAAGATTAACCTACCAGAAGATTGGATCTCTTCTCACAAAAATAACTCATAAGAGTTAGAGAATAAGAAGAGACATTCTGACCTTCAGGGTTCGAATGTAGATTTCTCCTTCGTCAATTCCACAAAGACCGGGTTATCCCTAAGAATACCCCTGTGGTATTCTTTCGGGAACTTCCCGATGCATTGGATAATCCACCCCCAGTTTCTCTCTTGGAACTGGGTTTGACTTGGTTGTCCGACCGGGTTATCCTTAAGAATATTAGCGTAATATCCTCCAGGAACTTCCCGGTACTCGCAGTACGTTGGATCCGCAGAATCGTCATCTTCCTCCTGATTCGTGATGGGCGGGAGCTTGATTTTATTGTTTTCGAGAAGGGTCTCGAAGATAGCTGGAACGTCTTCGTCTTTGAACGAGTACTCGTTTTGGAGCGTCTCGTTCGAATTCTCTTGCTGTTCCCAGGACTGCTGTTGTGACGTTTGATTATCATCAATAACAGTTGCAGGTGCGTCCCCTTCATCATGGGGTACGAGATCCGAATCCAGAGGGTTGACCATCAGTTGGCTCCTCTCGGCTTTCTTCCTTTTGAGGAAGCGTTCGGCCTGTTCTCCTCGAGCCCTTAACTCTTTCCAGGTATTGAGCGGCTCTATTCCCATCACGTCCAAGATATTAATGGACAAGTTGTTCTGACAAGTCTGCAAGAGGAATTCCTCCGTGACGGGATCCCTGCAGTTCATTGCCTGATTGCGGAAGCGTTTGATGAAGGTATCTACCGACTCTCCGCCTTTTTGTTTCTCGTCGAAGAGTGTCCTGATTGACACCTCGGTGTCATCATCGAAGAAATAGGCAAGGAACTTGCTTTCCAGGTCCTCCCAGCTGTTGATGCTTCCGGGCTTGAGACGGCGGTACCAATCGAAGGCAGGCCCGCGAAGGGTGCCAACAAATGACCGAACCATCAAAGGCTCGTTGCCCGAAATCACCCCCAAGTGGGACTTGAAGTAGATTAGATGCTGAGTGGGCGAGCCCTTCCCGCCGAACAGCGTGAAGTTGATCAGGTTGAACTTTGCCGGATACGGGATCGAATCCCACTCTTTCGGATAAGGACACGGAATGCCGGTCTTCTTGACCTCTCGAGTAGACATTAGGTCGTCGATTTTTCTTTCGAGCTCCTTCATCTTTTCGGCCTGATCTCTATCCTGTTTTGGACAATTGTCGAGAGAAATGATACGGCCACCCCCAGTGTTGTCATCACTGGTGGGTCCGCCCC